TCGGAAAAAACGATCTTGCAAATCCTTGAGTTTAGCTGACATAATGATGAGATTTTTTTAATTAAAAACCCATTTTATTAAAGTAATCTTAAAGTAGTTATTATCAACATCAATTACGATAATTGATGCTAAACTAGATATATTTACTTCATTTATAAATAAGAAATTTAAAATCTTATCATTTGATTTTGTGACACAATTTTTAAATGATACAATTCAACCCTTTTTTGTAGTGAAATCTGAAAATTCATATTTCCTATTTTTCTGATATCTCCATCGGTCATTTTCCTCATTAGAGGTTCATGTATACATCACACTATTTAGCTGATTTACTCTAAAATTAGCAAAATATATCAATTTATGATGTCAATATATAATGTCACTAGATTCTCATCCGCACTATATGTGAAAACATTCGTTGTATATGTTGTAAACTAAAATTGGTTTTCGTATTATGTTGTATATAATATGTTCTAACTTTAGATATTGCATGTTATTAGTTTGTAGGTAGAATCGATTAATTTGAAATAATATGATGGTTTTTGTGTTAGCTTGTAGGTAGAAATCGAATAGTTTAAAATATTATATTTTATATTGAATATAGTCATTAGTGGACGTGTAAGTAGTTGACTATGTTGTATTAAAATGTATAGAAAAAAAATAGAGTAGTTTTAAATAAGTTTATTGCTTTTGTTTAAATGTTTTCCATTTTGCATTCCGTTTACTAAATAATTTCGCTTTTATTTTATCTAAACTAATTGGTTTTATTTGTTTAACTGCATTTATTCGTTTGGTAAAGTGTTTTGTTGATATTAATAATTATGATATTTATATTACTCATATTTATCACTTTAAATATATTATTTTGATAATTTTATAAATTTTGTGCTTTTCTATTTGCTATGTTATAACTATATCACATTTTGAAACAAACTTCGCATCTTTAAAAAATCGATATTAAAAGTCAATCTATGAATTTGCAAATTAAAGATAGTCGTTTATATAATTTGCAAATAATTATATTATCCGGTCTAATAATTTGGTTCAGCAGAATAACAAATTAAACCAATAATTTTTTTCAAATTAAGATGCCTACCTTTACAGTTTCTCATTCTTTTGGTCCTTTATAATATAAATCTAGATCAAAATTAATCTTGATATCCGATGTGGGACTTTAAGTACACCATCTTTTTGTAATTTTGGAATATTAATATCAGCTTAACAATTTTGAATTATGGTTTAGGTAAGAGTGTCAAAATGGGTAACTCGACCAGACCCAAACCCTTATGGGTTCTAGATTTTGATGGGTTTTGACTCTTAAAATAGAAGAAAAAAAAAACTAATAAAATCAATAAAGCAAGAAAAGCAATAAACCATTGATTAGTTTTAAAAGACACATCGATATTAGTTGGATGATGATAAGAAGAAAACATATCTGTTAATTTTTTTTAAAACACTTGAAAACCTTTTAGAGTAATTTACATATGAATTATTATTTTATTTTTGATAATTTTTTATGATAAATCAGTCGGTAAGTCATGATCCTAATGAGTTTATCCACTAAATTCATAAACCCATTATGGATAACCCACTGAAGACTCATTTATTTATATTGGTAAGAAAATATAACCCTAACCCACTTAAATTATGGAC